TTACCCCTAATCCTTGCTTGAGAATCAAGATGGCTGATACTTATTAAGCGATGAAAAGTTGAATATCTTAGAGAATGAAAACTGTTATAAAAAAGTGTAAATGCATTCTCGTACATTTGTGGGAGCTTTTTCTTTAGGGGTCATTATGTTGTTTGGATTGAGGTTCCCTTTAATAATTTTTCCAGATGAGAGCCTTCATACTTCTTGCCCATAAGTGACAGGTAATTTAATGCAATATGGAATCCATCCATTCGCATTACCATGTCTGAAATGTTCGCTCTCTGACTACACAAGCGGAGTGGTTTTAGGTGATATAGTTTAACATACAACAAAAGTCATTTATTTCAGCGATTTAATACTTTTCATTTGTTTCTTCTACAGGTAAACTGGTGCCATTTTTGGAGCATTCCACAGAACACGCCTCCGTCTTAACTTTGGTGGCCATTGCTATGGAACGTTACGTGGCGATATGTCACCCGTTAAAAGCGCAGTATACGTGCACTTCAGAAAGGACTTTGAAAATTTGTGTTTGCATTTGGATGGTTTCCACGGCAGCAAGTATACCTTTTTTATTGCTGGCAAAATACGAGCCCTACCTGGAGTCAGACGGCAGTACTGAATACTCATGCGGCACTTACATTACAGGGATTGTCTCGCAGGTCTATATCCTTGTATTAACAGGTATATTTTTCTTCATTCCCATGGTTTTCATGGGTTGTTTATATGGGAAAATCGCCACACGACTTCGATATAACCCGCCACCTCTTCACCAGGTAACTGACCGAACAGTATACGCCAACGGAAAGTGCACAAGCCGGCGCATTCGATTCGAGAAAAATGAGGACGCCATGCGCACTTTGAAGCTAATGGCTATTATACGCAGGTCGTCTACCGGCGAACAGCGTTCCGTCTCTGACGATGACGGCATGAGAGACTCGTCAAATGTCCGTGCCCGGAAAAGGGCAGTGTATATGCTTTCTGCCGTAGTGACGCTGTTCTTCGTCTGTCTACTACCACAGCGAGTGGTGTCACTTTGGCTAATTTTTTGGAACAATCAAATGTCTCTTGGTATAACTGGTCTGTTAAGTTTAATAACACTTTGTCGTGTTATGTTTTACTTGAACTCAGCAATAAATCCCGTCATTTACAACATAATGTCCTCCAAATTCAAAATGGCGTTTCTAAGTGCTCTTGGATTCAAGCGACGACCTTTGCAGAAAATCCGAAGAGGACCGACATTTACATCGATATCGCGTGTAACTGGACTCAGTGGTAGTTTGAAACACACTTCCCACGCCACAAAATGTTAAATTACAAGGGATTGTTATACAATCTTGTATCTGATTGCGAATTACGTGAATTCAGCAGTACAACATGTACAGTTCATCAAAGCCTTACAAATTGTACATACTTGATACTCAACGTTTAATGGACAGGAGAAGGAAATCGTGTACCAATTATTGTAGCACGTGACACCCACATTGTACATATATATAAATTGGGTGTGTTCACACATCGTCAAGGCAGGGCTTATTACGATCATCATTTACTGTTTACTTGCTAGCGTTATATACTGATTATATTTGTTTACCTATTGTGTTACGTAATGAAGTCCGCGACTGCTCAATTATATACACTTTAGATTCACGAGGTTATGTGGATAACTCTAAACAAATTGTGATCGTGATTGAGTAATTTTGTGTTTAAAACAACAACATTCGGCTGTTAATCATGAAACACAATTATGGTTTCAACTTCAAACATAGCAGTTCGTTCGATTAAACTAGTCGTTACCTATCATTGTTTGTCAGTATTTCATCAGACAAATGAATACTGCTATGATTGTAGCTAAAATAAAGGATGTATTTCATCAGACAAATGAATACTGCTTTGATTGTAGCTAAAATAAAGGATGTATTTCATCAGACAAATGAATACTGCTATGATTGTAGCTAAAATGAAGGATGTATTTCATCAGACAAATGAATACTGCTATGATTGTAGCTAAAATAAAGGATGTATTTCATCAGACAAATGAATACTGCTATGATTGTAGCTGAAATAAAAGATGTATTTCATCAGACAAATGAATACTGCTATGATTGTTGCTGAAATAAAGGATGTATTTCATCAGACAAATGAATACTGCTATGATTGTAGCTAAAATAAAGGATGTATTTCATCAGACAAATGAATACTGCTATGATTGTAGCTAAAATAAAGAAGGTATTTCATCAGAAATCTTACTGTCAATTATTTGTTATTGAGATGCAATATTGAGATGAAAAAAAATAATTTAAAAAAATAAAATAACGCTTTTGTTTTGTTGGGATTGTTCTGACCAATTCTGATCGATAAAATATTACAATATTTATTCATTGATTTCTCTCAAAATTTACATGACAGGGTTTAATCACACAGTGAGATTAAGTATAATCAAGCATTTTTGAGAGTGTTTGTTGTATATTATATAAATATTGAAATAAACTGATATTTTAATGTTCAACATATACCATAATTCAAATAAAATATTCAGTTACAAAACTATTGATAATTTGCGTCTCATTCACATCCAATAGTTTTTTTCTGAAGAACGTAATTGATGAATATAACAACATGGCCTCTTACATAATACACTCATTTTAGTCGTATTTGATGAATATTTATAATATAAAAAATATGAATACAATTGAATACACCTACAGTTAAATCATACTAAGGGTACCATAATCCCGTAACCATGGCACCAATTCGATTGCTTGATCACACAAATGTATCGTCACTTAATTTAGCAATACGACATGACTGTCTGTCATTCTTGTACACGTCACTGGAAGTTGTCAATTCAATTAGTATTGTATGTCTTTGATATTGTCGATATGGTTTGTTGTTGTGTATGTGACGGAACTCTTCATCATGCTCTGTCAGGAACAAATTAGTGTTATTTCAAAATTATTTCACGCAGGATTAAATTAAATCTGTCAAACCGAAATACAATAAAAGTACTACATTCTATATAAAAAAAACATTTGAATGATGTATCCCTTCCGAGAGCATGCAATCGTTGACATGCGTAGGCAACACACGAAGGTTAGTTAGAAATTTGATATCAACTTTACGTAAGCATATAAATGGATGTTTACCCTTTGCAATTCAATTATAGTCCTGGTGCGATGTTTCGAATTACGTAATTATAATCCTTCATTCTACTCTCCTTATATAAGTAATGAAAACACATACGTTTGGTTCTATCTTATGTTATTCGTAACAACTATTTACACATTCTTGGCATGTTACTTTTTAAACGGTGTTGTTATATTTTTTCTGTTACCTCTTGTTACTACACACATGTAAAATTACCTATCAAATGTTGTTATGGTGTAATTTTCATTCATACTGTCAATTTCCCTAATTTCCTAACTTTAGGTCCGTGGAAATACAATACACATACACACACTTGATCAGACGTCAAATTATCTATTTGAATTTAGTCGAGATCAATGCGTTTGATTTGTACGTATATTCAGACACGTGTCAGAAAAGAAGCGAGGATATTCCAAAATGTAATCTATTCAGCAATCTCAGATTCAATGTCATGTAAGGTGTGATACAGAGGAAGATGGTTAGTGTGAGTACTTAGTGATTGATAGTTTGAAGTGTACTAAATATAAAATAATGTGAATGCCTTGCGATGAGATCTGTCAGACATGTTTGATAGACTCAATTTCAAAGATAGATACTTTTAACAATTTAATGATTATAAACACATTTTTGCTAAATCATAATAGAAAATTATTACGTTTCGTCACTTCATGTGTCCGTTTGTTTTATTACCTCATATAAGCCATGATGGAAGGAAAGGCCTGAATATTTTTGTTAATCGAAATTTCATTTATACACCATTTCTGTAACACTGTAATGCATTGATATTGACAACCTTTGCCTTCATGGCCAACACAATAACCAGCCTATGACAACCTGATTAATAGAAATCGTTCTTATACATGCATGATGACATCTGCCCGGATACGAATTCAGGAGGTTAACCATGGTAACATACATCAGGTGTGGAGGATATTAGAAAATCGTGAATTGGTTTTCCCATCTGAATTCCCGTGAACTAATTCGTGTGATGTACTGTATATACCCCTTAAATACGCAAAAGCTGTCAGACCGAATGAAATCATAGAGTCCTTCATTTGTCAATGTCATCTCACAATGGCTAGATCATTATTCTGATTCAGTTATTTGTATTATTGAGGTGTAAGGAAATTTTAAAAAGCTGTCAATTCAAAGTGGTGATAGAATCTGTGTAATATATATATTTCGTGTATATGAGCAATGCGGTACAAATTGTGTTGTAAATATGTACTGTGTTGTATTTTTCTAAAATGTTAAAGCGGTTAATTTTGCAATAGCCCAAACACCATAAATAGGTGAAAATCGTGTCCCAGGCCGTTAGCTCGAACTTAAGAAGGGAACTCCTATATATGCTGCATCTAATGAAAAAAATAAGGTTTCTCACATTTCATTACGTTTGCCATATTATACACAATACCCTTAAATATAATATGTGCGTGAACCAGTTCATAAATACGTCAATACTTTGTTCAAAAACGACGTTAACATAGACTTAATGACATAAAAGTTATAATTTTGTTTTAAAAGATTACATCTGCTGAAAATTGCTCAAGGAACCAACATTTTTTTTAAATAACCATATTTGTGCGATATTTTTGACATGATATATACGTTATTAGACAAATATACAACAAATGTGTTACTTCTACATTTTGTTGGATATTGAATCTAACATATATGAATGAAAACAAGCAAACCCTGGTTAAAGATTACTGAAACATTTTATTTTAATATCAGTCTGTTAGTTTGTTTGGTTTGAGCCCTTTTTTTTAATATTAGAGGGCATTAGTCGTACGCTTTAGTAAGTCAGTATAAAACCCTTATATGTGGGGCGTGTCTTTTGAAGATGCAATAGATTTTGATACTCGGGATAACGTACTTTTTAGTAACGTAATATTGAAATCAAAATCAACGATTATGTCCATTTCCTAATGATCGATTGATTTCGCAAACCTTGATTATAGCCACTTTGGCGGATCCATATATATATACATCATAGTTAACATATATGTCCAACGCAGTGCACACTAGATAAATCTAAAGATACGAACACTTCATCGAAAATCTATATTCCAAAATGTGTCATTTGGGAGTTGACTGAGTAGACATGAAGGGTAATGATTTTCTTTATTCACTTGGGACCTACTCAATAACACAACGTCACTACTGCACAGACACGTTACCAAGGATATTGCGGCGGAAATAATCTCACTTTAGGCAAATTGGTTACGTATTGAAGCTGTTGACGCACTCTATATAAAAGCTTTCGTTAAAAGTATGGTAGAAGATTTTCCAAAGAAGCGACATTTAGAAAAGGAGATTTATTCTTAACTAATCGAGTTTTACTTCCAGTCATTTGGTAGCCTACTTAAATTCAGTTCACATGTCCTTCATTTTGCAGGACATCAAAAGGTTATGTACGCACCGATATAGACAATTTGTAATGTCAGTAGAGGTTAATGACCATAAGCGGACATTATGAACCTGCAGGGAAAGTATACTATACGTGAGAGAGGTTTTGATTGTATATCATTAATTCTACAGACAACCTTGATGAAATATACAAGAAACATGTAAATTACCCACATGTCGTACAACAACTCTTAAAAGATGCGGTATATCGTTTGACAGTCGTAGATTGTCAGAAGGCTTTATATAATTCCTGTTGTGCTCTTAATTAATATTACTTTTACCCAGGTGTTTATCACTGCTGATGGATGTACACTTATCCCCGTGATCAAAAGTAACTGGGGTAGACCATGGGATGCACGTGTTCATAAATCACTGTGATTGCGCATTCACGACACGATATTTTAGAGAATCAGGTGACAGGTGGTATTTCGGTGTGTGTGTGTGTGTGTGTGTGTGTGTGTGTGGGTGTGGGTGTGTGTGTGTGTGTGTGTGTGTGTGTGTGTGTGTGTGTGTGTGTGTGTGTGTGTGTGTGTGTGTGTGTGTGTGTGTGTGTGTGTGTGTAGAGTATGCCAAAGTTCCATTTTCGGAGTTAAAAACATTTTGCAGTACTGAGCATGGTACTGTACTTATATACAATGCTTTTTAGCATATAACTTCCGATTACATATAATTGAAACTATTATCACCCTTGAAACTCGCTGAATTCTATTTCATATGACTTTCACATCCCATGTCATCGAGCAAACGTTGGGGATAA